CATTGTCTTTATAAACTGTGTTATGCCAATTGAGCTAGATGTTCCCTGAGACCATGGTCCCCACAGCCCTCCACCCAACAATTCAGTCCCTTAGGGAATTTGGATGTGTCTATGGAGCTTCCACGACCTTTCCTTGTACAAGTTGTGCTGGTTTCCCCAGTATTGGGTACTGTCTCACCCAACAAGTGGTAGTTTCTTAAAGGTTAGTTATGATGTGGAATCTGAAACCATATCAATAAATTTTTCATACTCGGCTACACTGAAATCCATTGGTGTATCTTGCACTTTGAATAGATCTTTTACTCATTTATGATTTTATAACATCATGAGTTGGTCATTTGGAAAAAAATGGATCACTGGGTTAAGTGAGATCTTCCTAATGCTGACATATTTCATCATATAATATGAAAGAATCACATTCATTAATATCATTATGGATCTCATCAATAAAGTCTGAGTATTAGCATGCTGTCACATTCATCATGGTGAATATGAGTTTTTCAAAATTCTAATTTTTGGGCTTAAAAGCTCACATTTTATCATTGGCAAAAAATACTGTCAGTTGTTTTCCCTGAAGTGACACACTCGCTTCATTCATTTTCAGGATAATGTCTGCCAAATACTCAAAACTTAATAACCACAGTTTGTAAATCATTCTTTCAAGTAAAAATTGTTTCTGAAAACAAAAACAAAAAACAAAAAAATCAGCCAGTTCAGCTCACAAGTCAAGCAATCATACTGTATTTCAGTATGCAGCAGAAGTGCTTTTTATATACTTCCCATTTCATCACACAGAATATTAAAAAGACATGGACTTGAGGGGCAGGATTCAATAAAATTAATAATTTTTACTTCTTCATCAAGGACATTCTTAAGGGAAGTTGTATTTTTTTTAACTGCAAGTGCATTGCAGTGAAGAATATAATGACTAACAGTGCGATTTGGTGACAGACTTAAGTTGTTTCAAAGCAGCAGCAGTTTGACCCATCATTGCTTTTACACTATCAATATAAATGTCAACACAATGAAAAAGACAACTAATATTTAATATTATCTTGAAGAGCCCTGGTGGCACAGTGTTTAAAAGCTCAGCTGCTAACCAAAGGGTCGGCAGTTTGAATCCACTAGCTGCTCCTTGGAAACCCTATGGGGAAGTTCTACTCTGTTCTATAAGGTCCCTGTGAGTTGGAATTGACTCAACGGCAATAAATTATTATTACAAAAAGAGCTTTGGCTTAATGTATCGCCTTAAAGGGTCTTGGGGATATCAAGAGTCTGTGTATCTCACTTTGGTAACTGCTGCTATAACCTAAATGTACGCAGGTCATCTATAAAATTCATTTAGAAAGGCAGCATAGTAAAAGAACAAAGTTAAATTTTGGTATCAAAAAGATTTGGCTTCAAATCCCAGTTCTGTTCCTCACTAGCGATGGTACTAGTTAGTGTCTTTAAGTCTCAGTTTAACTTTCACCTATAAAAATAGGGACAATAACACACACACACACCCTCAATTTAAAAAAAAAAAAAAGACCTAGAATTCCTGTGAAAATGCCAGTAGTTTAAAACATCTATGACACAGATAGGTTTTTTGGTTTTATTCTGTTTAATAATGGACTCTGTGGTGGGAGTGTAAATTTATGCAACCTATCTGGAGAACAATTTGGCAATGTGAATCAAAATCATGCATACCCTTTAGCCCAGCAATTCTGCTTTTAGCAAATTACCCTAAGTTAAAAATTAAGAAATATACAGCTACAGAGACGTCCATTAGAATGTCACTTACAACAGCAACAGGTCGAAGACAATACAGATGACTAAAATAGGGAATCTGTCAAATATATGATGGTATAGCAAGATATCACAAGTGGTTATAAACACGTCTATGCTCTGCTATTTAAAGCACAAGTAACCTAACCTAAAAAGCCTCACTTGCCTCATCTGTAAATTACCCCATATGGTAGTAGTGAAAATAAAATAAAATGGGGGAGGGGTGGGAAAGCCCTAACAGTTAAGCCCTCTTACGCAAGGTAGCTCCTATTAATAATAAAATTCTATGCAATGATTAAAATTAAATATTTATTAACATAGAAAGAAGTAAACCACAAATTGTTGGGAGAAAAAAAAAAGATTTTAAAACCAAATGTATAATATCTAACTCCTGTAAAATAAAAATGCATGCATATAGAAAGGAGTCCAGAAGGATATACAGAAAAATGTTATCAGTAAGTTAATTCTGCGTAATGGAATAATAAGAGTTTTTTTTTTTTAATTTCCTTTATTTAAAAATCTATTTTCTCATTTAGTGATCATAAAAATATATTACTTTTGTAACAAATCTGAAAGTCCATGAAATTTTTAAACAGCTATTATATAATTCTTACATGCTATTTTCTAATTTTAGAGAGGCTTAGTTTACTTTTGCTTTTGCCTTTCTTGTTGCTTTCTAAGATGTGGAGATGGGAAATTATTCTTAAGATGTTACTGTGTTCTCAGGAAAACACTAAAGGACTACTCAAAACAACTAAATACATAATATCAAAGGTAAAATAAGATCTACCCTACCTTCAGAAAATTGGGGTCCTCTTTGGTCATATAAAATGGGTCATACTCTTTTGGATCATAATGTTCTATAAATGCATTTCCCTATAGGAAGGAAATAAAACCACACATAAACAAGAGGTGCACAGTTAATTTTGAGCATTAAAGAACTCGAGAGCCAAATACCCAGTTCCATTCTTATACTTCAAAATGACATCAATTACAAATGCAAAAGGGTAAAGAAGACCAAATTTGAAATTAACTTTAATTTATTCAAGTAATAAATATTATAGTGATGGAAGGAGTCTACTACAAATTTGCAAGATCTGGAAATTTGTTTTTAAATGCTTACTAGCTGAACATCTCAAATCTCTTAAAAATACCATAAGAACAGAAATATTTTATAGCTTTGCAGATAATTGAGTACCAGAACAAAATAAAAATATGTCCTGAACCTAGAGTACAAATTTTTAAAATTGGTAAATACAATTAATAATTACATGGGATGTGTGTCAGACCAGAACTGTATGCCATATGGTTTTCAGCTGCTGATTTTTTAGAAGTAGATCCCCAGGCCTTTCTTTCAAGGCACCTCAGAGTGGATTCGAACCTCCAAGCTCCCGGTTAGCAGCTGAGCACATTAACTGTTTGCACCACCGAGAGATTCCACATGCAGTATAAGAATAGGCAAAACTAATAAATGACTATAGAATTCTGAACAGTGCTTAGCTCTGGGTGGATGAGGGCGCAGTGCTGGGAATATTCTATATCCTGATCTAGGTGCTGATTACACTGCTGTGCACACATGTAAAAATTCATTAAGTGGTATTTACTGAATGTATGTTATATCCCAACAAAAAGTATAAATAAAAAATAATAAAATTAAATATAAACTTTAAAAAAAATTACATGGGAAAAACAAAGAAAAAATGGTTCTAATATACGTATTTAACTCCAGATTTAACCCTTCTCCTTTATCCCTTCCACATGTTCTCAATTTAAGAATAGTATATGCTACAACAGAGTACAGATGATACATAAAGTTATGTAAAGGGGAAGGGGCAGTCTGTTTGGAAGATTATAAACGAACAAAGATAACCATGGTCTTTAAACGAACTGAAGAAAATGTCAAATGATTTCTTAGTACCTTTTTATTTACATGTTTTAAAAAACCCTCTAATTCCTCTTGTCTCCTTTTTTTAATCTTCTTATATGAACAGACTTTTTCTATAATTTTCTTCTGAAGAGGATCTGCCACGTGGTCAACCCATCTTTTATATAATATCTCTTTTCTTCTTGCATTTAAGAAGTCATGATGTTGTACATGCTTATCTAGTTCCTAGTAAACAGTGATAGAAAAGATAAATGTATTACCCTAAAACTTTCTTGTTCTAAAATCTTTTCAAATTTTAAACTTCATTTATATTTATAATAATAACCCACAAAGTCATTCATTAATTCAATGATTTATTTGGCTTCTACTATATGACATACACTGTGCTGGAAACAAGGAATATATGGATAAATGAGACAACATGCCTGCTCTCTCTGGAAGACAGACAACAAAACAATTATCTACAAAACATTGGGAGGAGGGACAATACAGCAAGATAGATATGTAAATAGTAACTGAAGACAGAGAAGAGAAAAACTTACTATTTTCTAGAGTCTAGATTCCCAAAGTGGGAGACATTTAGGCTGGGCCTCAAAGAACAAGGACTTATCCAGGCATAGAAGAAGTGGTAGCGAATGAGGAAGAGCATTCTATGAAGAAGATGAAGAAAAAGACAACAGTAAAGAAGCAGAAGTACAGCACAACCTGTTCCAAATGGCAAGTAACATGAAAAGAAGACATCTGATTAGGCTGCAAACTAATTCATTCTCACCAAACCTTCTCATTCTTTCATACAGCAAATGAAATCATGTGATTACTAAGATCAACAACATGAAATTCAAAATGAAAATAGTAAAATAAGAACCTTGAGATGTTCTCTAGGCTATGTCCCTCTTAACTGCAGGTTATAGCACACTCCAATCATTCCCAATAAATAGTTTCTTTCCTTTTCAAAGAACTTTAGAAAAAAATCTTAAAAACTTAAAACAAAAAACTGGTTACCCATCCTAGTGTTTAGTCTACCTCACCGGGTCATTCTTCTTGTCTAATTAAACCCATCTTGCTATAATTGAAGCCTTGTTCTTATCTATATATAAACCAAAAATCCACTGCTGTCAAGTTGGTTCTGACTCATGGAGACCCTATGAGACAGAGTAGAACTGCCCCATAGGGTTTCCAAGGCTGTAATCCTCCCAGAAGGATACTACCACATCTTTCTCCCAAGGAGCGGCTGGCAGCTTTGAATCACCAACCTGTCAGTTGGCAGCCAAGTGCTTAACCCCTATGCCACCAGGGCTCCTTACGTATATATACCTGAGTAATAACTGGTCTGGGTGTTCCAATAATAACACTTAAAGATAAGCTCATAGTGACTCCGTAGAAAACCCACTAAGATGAAGAAACTAGTGGGGGGAAAGTCTTACAAGGTTATCTGTGAAGGAATTCCCACAAAGTTTAAGTAGAAAGGAAGTCAATTACAGCAATCTCAGAGATCCTTTAAGGTTAATCCTGGGTGGTAATGAGTGGTTTTTCATCTATTTTCCAAATTGTTTATAATGAGGATGTACTACATCTAAAATGGAAAAATAATAAAATTTAATTTTTAATTAAGACATACACTATAACCAATTCTTACCTTAATTACATAATTTTCTCTATATAATATCGAATGAATAGCTGCATCAATATCTTCTTTAGCTAATGCCTACAATGAAAGAATTAAACTTTAAAATCAAATCTTGAAACAATTAAATTATTAGAACTATCTGGACTCATTATATTCTATGTGATAGATATATCCCTGGAAAGTGTAAATCCAATTTTTCTACCTCAAATCATATCATAAAGTACTTTTTAAAGAGTATTTGAATCTGTCTGCTCTCTGCTAAAGCTCATTCTAGAACAAAAATAACTCAGATTATGGGACATTTTGTGGTCCCAGAATGATCAAATGACTTGCCCAGAGTCACAGGGTGGTAAAAACCCATTTTTCTCCACATCCTATAAAATACTTTTAGCATTAGAACTTCACTTTTCTTTATGGCTGAATAATATTCCATTGTATGGATACACCACATTTTGTTTATCCATTCATCTGTTGATGGGCATTTAAGTTTTTTCCACCTTTTAACTGTTGTGAATAGTGCTGCAGTTGAACACTGGTATACAATTGTCTGTTTGAGTCCTTGCTTTCAATTCCTTTGAATATATACCTAAAGTGGAACTGCTGGAGCACACGGTAATTCTATGTTTAACTTTTTGAGGAATTACCAAACTGTTTTATACAGCAGCTGCACCATTTTGTAATTTCTCCACATCCTCGCCAACACTTACTGTTTTCTATTTTCCTGATCATAGCTATCCTAGTGTGGATGAAGTGATATCTCATTATGGTTTTGATTTTCATTTCCTTAATAACTAACAGAGCCCTGATGGCACAGTGGTTAAGAGCTACTACGGCTGCTAACCAGAAGTTGGCAGTTCGAATCCACCAGCCACTCCTTGGAAACCCTATGGGGCAGTTCTACTCTGTCTCATAGGGTCACTGTGAGTCAGAATCTACTCAACGGCAAGGGGTTTGGTTTAGTTTTTCAATGACTAATGATGCTGAGATATTTTCATGTGCTTGTTAGCCATCTGTATATCTTCTTTGTGAAATGTCTATTCAAGTCTTTTGGCCATTTTTGGATTGCATTGCTTTTGTCTCTGTTGCTGAGTTGTAGGAGTTCTTTATATATTCTGGATGTTAAACCCTTATCTGATATATGAATACTAGAAATATTCTCCCCATCTATAGGCTGTCTCTTCACTTTGTTGATAGTCCTTTAATGCACAAAAGTTTTTAATTTTTACGAAGTCCAATTTATCTATTTTGTCTTTTGTTGCTTGTGCTTTGGTGTCACATCTAAGAATCCTTTGTCAAAAACGAGGTCCCAAGCATTACTCCTATGTTTTCTTCTAAAAGTTTAATGATTTTAGTTCTTACATTAGGGTCGTTGATCCCTTTTGAGTTCATTTTCATACATGGCGTGAGGTATGCTTCCAGCTCCATTCATTGCATGTGAAGATCCCGTTGTCCCAGCACCACTTATTAAAGAGACTATTCTTTCTCCACTGGATGGAATTATCACTTTTGTACTAAATCAATTGACTAGAGATGTATGAGCTTATTTCTGGACACTCAATTCTATTCCTGTAGAGGGTCCCTCTTGAGTCTTCAGCTGAATGCTAAATTATGCATGCTAAACAGGAAATTACAAGTAACACTGGGCAAAAAAACACCTGAAAAAATATTAGAGGGAACATTCCTTAGAGGTCACATAGGCTGAGAAGCTGTTCCTTTTAACATCAGCCAAAGTGAAAAACCCCATGGTTCCCAAGGCATCCAATCAAAAATCATCACGCATGTAAAGAAGCAGGAAAATCTGACCGATAATGAACAGAAAAGTTAGTCAAAACTGCCCCAGAAATGGCACAGATGATATAATTAGTAGGCAAGGATTTTAAAATAGTTATTATACCTGTAGTTCATAGTTCAGGAAGCCAGAGGAAAAAGGAGACATTGAAACAGGGGGATAAAAGGAGATAAGACAAAATGACCACTATCAGGAATGTGACAGGTGACATCATTACAGATTTTACAGATATTAAAAAGAAAACATGAAAATATTGTTAACAACTTTATGCCAATAAACTTGAAGACCTGGATGAAATGAACAAATTCCGAGAACCTCAAATAACAAGGCTCATTAAAGAAGAAACAGATAATCTGAATAGTCCTGTCTCTTATTAATAAACTGAATTTGTAGCTAAAAATCTTCCCATAGAGGAAATTCCAGGACATAGCACTTTGCTGGTGAGTTCTACCAAACACTTAAGAAAGGAATAATTCAAATCTAACACAAGCTCTTCCAGAAATGTGGTGAGGCGGGAATACTTCCAAACTCATTCTATGAGGCTAGCATTACCTTGATACTAAAATCAGAAAAAAGATATAATACAAGAAAACTTCATATCAACAACTCTTATGATCATACTTGCAAAAATTCTAGACAAAATTTTAGCCAGCTGAACAAAAAGGATAATATATTCTGACAAAATGGAGTTTGTCCCAGGAATACAAGGCTGGTTTAACATTAGAGAGTCCACCAATGGAATTCACCATATTGACAGCATAAAAAAGAAAATCTATATGACCTTCTCAGTAGTTTCAGAAAAGCCATTTGAGAAAATTCAACATCTATTCTTAAAAAAAACCTATCCCCGGCAAGATGGCGCTCTAGGCAGAAACACCACGCCGTCCCTCCACAACAAAGATCCGAAAAACTAAGCCAAACAGAGAATCAACAATCCTGAAACCCTAGAACATCAAATGAAGAGATAAAG